ACAAAAAGCCTAATGCTACATAATGGCGCGTGAATATTTTCCCCACCCGGACCCTGCTACTTTGCCCACCCGGTCCCTACTCACCACGATATTTGCTAAAGTAAGAGAGGTTTCTGAGAAATTTCGTTGTTTGTTTTGGTTTTTTGACATTAAAAATCCGTTACGAGAAAATGCGCCAAAGTTGCAATTAAGTGCACAAATTCCACATTACTAAAAGAAAAATAAGGCGGAATTTGTTTTCAATTATAAAAGCATTAAAAAAAGGTAATTATTCCAGAAAAATATATGAATTATTAGTTAATTAAAATTTATTTACAATTGAAACGGAAGTGCGTACTTGGATGTTTAAATTTCAAACATCTCTATATTTTTCCAAACGATTATCGAAGGTATATTATTAATTAAAAATAGCGCAATTTATTGTTGTGGAATAAAGTAAATATATAAATGTATTAACACATTAGAAACTTAGATGTGTGCCTAATTAGTGTATATAATAAACTACGAATTAAGTTGTGCTTTTATTTTTTATTTTTTCCATGATATACTAATAATTATAAAAAAGGAAAAATCCTGAAGAGAAATTAATATTATTAATTATACTTTTATTAAGTGTTGTTATTATATATACATATATTGAAAAATTAGAATCACAATTTTCGGATCAGTTCGATAGCAGTTGCTATAAATTAGGTTTAGCGCAACATTTATTTAATAAATTAGAAAACGTTCATCCCTATATATGTTGCCCTAATTGCAAAATTGAAACTCTTCTATCTTTTTTCATTAAAGTAAGAATTTACTTCATTTTAAAATATTTCAATCGAGATAATAAAGTGTCGAATTTTAAATATAAACAATTATGCTTTCAACACTTATAAACAGCACAAAAGTGTTCATACTCTTTAAGTGATTTTTTGCTTAAACAAAAAATATTTTAGTTTTAATTTTATAATTTATTAAATTTATTTATAATTTATCTTTAATTTAATAGTTCCTTATTATTTTTGGTTTAATATTAAATATTTTTAAAATAGTAATATTATTTTGTATATATTAAGTTATTCTAAATTGTATTTACATAAAATTGTATATTTGTTAAATAAAATATTTTGATGGATAGGCCTATTGGGGAACCGAACACCTAAAACTCGGTAACACGCCAGCAGGCATACCTCTTAGGTGGTGCGGAAAATGCTTATATATTTAATATTTCTTCTAACACTATGCGATGAAATTGATCCCTATTGTTTACAATGTTGTTATTAACTAGTTAAGAATTTCTTGAATTTCATATACAAAAAACATTTCACCTTACTGAAAGGATTGCTTAAAACTACAAAATATATGTAGTAGTAAACAGTATATACATTTTTACGATTTTCTATATTGAAAATATTTGATGCACAAGCAAAAATTGTATTACAATATACCAAACTTTTTTTGAATTTTAAAAAATTATATTAATATTAATCTTTTTAAAACAAAATATTAAAACAATGCAACCTAATATTCGAAATGTATGAACACATACTAACTTTTCTATTAGATGCTCAGCATATATATAAATATAGTACGTATATGTGCAACATGATTAAAAGAACTTTTATTTTAATAAATGCGATACAATTTTTTTAACTTTATTAAAACAATTTCATGACTAATTATATATACATATTTACATATATCAATAATAGCTACTTTATATTTACTATTGATTTTAGTTTACCAATTCTTCATTTATATTTGATTTATATAGCGCATTTAAAACTTTTATGTAAATTGAAGTAAAACTGATATAAAAAATCATGCCTATATTTACTCATTATAATCGTATTAATATATACAATGGATTTTCCAAGAACAATAATTTATACTATTTCTTCTAATTAGAAGAAATGGCTACATGCTAATATGCAACCACAAATGTAGTAAATATTTAAGTTATAAGCCACACCGTTTTTAATATTTGACAATTCTGGTATGGTAAATAAGTAAAAGAGATTTTCTTTGCGATATTACACAAAGAGGCACCATTATTCAAAATTTCCTCTCAGTTTCTTTTCTTTATTTTCTTTGATTACTACAAACTAAAGAAAGTGCTGGACTTTGGTAAGTACGGGCAGTAAATATTATTAAATAAAGAATAAAATTTTACTGAGTTGCTATTTTAGATAAAAATGTAGTCCGTATGTCGGTTCTTAGAAGACAACAGAGGGCTTCAAAATAAGTTTGAACACTAAACAACCACAATCCAAATAGAAAAGAAATACGGCGATGTTTGGAACATTTTTTCAGTAAGTTTTATTTTAACTAATAGCTAATAATAACACTAATAACTTATAAATTAAAAATAAAAACAACAAAAAATATATATTTATATATTTCATATAATTAGATTTCACATAATTATAAAATTTATAAAAGATTTATATTATTACATTTATAATTTTAATGATTTATAATATATAAAAAATAAAAATAAAAAAATATAGTCGGTTATCATTGATTTTTCTTTTCTTTGTAGGTGTGTTCTTTTTTGACTTCAAATATGTTGACGATAATGTTGACGACGCTGGCAGTAACGGTAAGGATGACTATCAGAAATTAATACGAAGGTGTTGTCAATAGGCAAATTCTCCAAAATTCTATACACGATATTGACAAACTTCCACGATGACGGGACCTCCGTTGAAAACCACAATACATTGCTGAACCTTACTATTTTAAAATAAAAGAGAAAAGTTAACATAATACTTAATAACATATATTATTCATTATACTTTATTAATTATTAAATAAAACATCAAATATTAATCGTAAAGGATTATGTAGTTCTAATTACCAAAAAGTAATGATATAATAGAAATTTCTGAAGTGCACTTTCGTTTGCACTTCGTGCGCGGTTCCCATATAACATCTTTCACCTTTTTCATCGAAGAAGATTTCCCTCTCATAGTTCTATAGTTCCACACGCATTCCGGGTAATTTTTTTTTTGTTTTACATTAAACACAATTTTAAATTTATAAATCAAACTTGTGAGATCTCAATTATTGCTTTCCTGATGTTAACCTGAAATAAATATTTTTTATTAAATAGTATATGAAATTTTATAATTATATCAAATAATAAAACTAATTTTTATGTATTAATTATATGTTTTATTTATAAAAAAACAAATGTTTAAAAAAAATTCTTACCTGTTGTTTGTTTTGAATTTTGATTGTTTGTTTATGTTAACATTTTGTTTCATGTGTCAAATATGTCAAATTTAGATCATTTCCAATGTTGCATTCGTAATATTTGGTATAATTTTGGTCGAATTTTGTTTACTATATTTTATAATAAATGAAAAAGCACGGAAGCTCTTTGTATGGTTAATGCAATTTACTTAGTAAATAAAGCTTACTAAGTATGAAGTGGAATCGTATCAAAAAAAATCATCTATTGTGAACGATATTTGGAAGTATATACGTAATTTCCAGTTATCTGTCAACGAATGATTTCATTAATTATTCTTATTTCGTGTCATTGTTCGTAACAAATACGTTAATTTTTCTATGTATTATTGTACTGTTAAAAGGCACGAAAAATTATATTTTATTCATAATCATGTAATAAAAAATATTCTCATCAATAATTGCAAAGAATTATTAATTTTCGAAATTTCAACTTTAAATTTTATTATACATTTATTGCACATATAAGCCTAACAAAATCTTCATTTTGTACAGAGTTGCCATCGAAAGTAGTGCTTATTTTATTTGTTCTTTTGCGACATGCTTACAAAACAAAAGTCCTAATGTTGGAAAATATAACCTAAAACTAATTGTTATAGTACGTTTCCATACCTTAACTTACTAAGTAAATATCATTAACCATACAAAGAGCTTTTTTACTTATTTTAAAATATAGTAAAGAAAATTCCACCAAAACTATGTCAGAAATGACGAATTTGACACAATAAACAAAGTGTAAAAATAAACAAAAAAATCAAACAAAATGTATACATAAACCAACAACAAGTAAGAATTTGTAAGCTTATCCTACTTAATTTAATTCTTTATTTATTTATTTAAGCAAGAAATAATTATTCAATTTTGTGTGTTGAAATTACACGTGTCTGTTGTTTTATTCTTCGTTTTCCCCAAACGTAAAATTAATGACAACCTTATTTTTACTAAATAAAAATATTATTAGTTTTTAAAAATTTTCTTTTATGGCCAACTCATCTTATTTTTAATAATTTACTTATCCGTGTTTGCATGGCCAACCCATATCATTTTAAACATTAATGTGAATATGCAACCGCCACAAATTTTATAAAATATTTTTTTTTATAACTAAAATATATAATTGTATATAAAAATTAGTTTATGTATTAAATATATATTTGATAGCATTATACAATGTCATATATTATTTAATAAAAAATATTAGGTGTCAGGGCAGATAATGGATAAGAGCTCACACGTTTGTATGGTGCATTTGTAATGTTTGCAATTCAATAAAATAAAATACTATCAATATTAAGAAAAAAATTTGGAATATGTGGAAAAGAGGGCGGTAAGCACTAATTTATATTGGCCACATAATAGAAGAAGGACACCTGGAATAAAATAAGAAACACGGTTGTTATAAAGATGCTAGAAAGAGTTGATAGACCATCAATTTTGAAGATGGAAAGAGGATATCTGCACGAAAAGGCCGTAACGAACGTAGAGACAAGTGACTAGTCAATATATTTTTTCTATTTTCAAGTTTTTAATTCTTTGTTTATTATCAATATAGTTAAATTGTATTTTTTTTTATTTCTATTTTTTATATTTTTATTTAATGTTAATGTAGTTATAGCGTATTTTATTTTTAATTTATAAGTTTTTAGTGTTATTACGAGTTCAAATAAAACTTACTGAAAATTAAATAATTTGTATATTTTTATAAATTATTGATTGTACTTTTGTATATGCAATAACTGCTACATTCATGTCATTAACAATATAACAAACATTATGTATTAAATTATTTAAATTTTATGCATTTTTCATGCTGAATTATTTTCAAAATTTAATGTCAGCTTTTTACAATTAAAATGAAAACAAAGAAAAGCTCTACAACTAAAAATTTTTGACACATAAAAGCTCTTTCCCATTCTTAAGTAACTTGTGCTAAAGTAAACTTAAAAAGCTTAATGTTACTAAGTAACTTACTAACTTAGCATTGGAAACGTAGTATTAAATATCGTGTTATTGTAGGATATAAAAAACAGTTCTACACGCAATCTGCTGCTTCTATAACAAAACACAATCTAATTAGTTTTTATTAATTAAATTTTCTCCACAATTGATGGTTTTGATATAATGATTGCAAAAATGGTTATTATAACATTCCATCCAGTTGAAGTCAAAAAATTTTGAAAAGACAATTTTTATGATAGAAAAACTATATATATATATACAGTCAGAGTCATAACTCTACAAGCAGGCAGTACAAAAAACTTTGTTTGAAATTATTTTCCAAAAAAATCAATTTATTTTAAACATATTTTATTGTTATAAAAACATTCAATGCACAAGGTTCAAAAAATAGCTGAAAAAACGGTACTTTTATTGTAAAGAGTAGCAAAACAAACGATCAAAAGTCTACAAGCATTAAGTATAAGGCGACGTTTTAGTGTAAATTTTTGATTTTTTATGCAATTTATGCAACTATTTGGGTAACTGTAATGCTTAAGAACTTGCACTAGATGATTTTTCATCGAAACTACAAGTTTACTAGTCTCCTGAGTTGTTATTTCGCCCTATTCCTTAAGGATCATGTCTTTCAGATCCTGTTTGGTTGAAATTGAATGTTTACGAGTTTTTCTTTTCAAAAGTCCCAATAAATGTTCAATTGCATTTAAATCCGGTGATTGTGGAAGCATATTTAGCAATTTTGGGGCGTTTATGGAAACCAAAGACGCACAATTTATGCTGTATATTTAGGATCATTATCCTGTTGAAAGTAAAATCCATCTATTAGTCAAAATTTGTCAGAACTATATCTCTATTCATTGTTATTTCCACACTCTTAAGATTACCCGTACCGTTAGCTGCCATACAATCCCAGAGCACCAGTGCACCACCTCCATGTTTTACAGTTGGGAAAACATTTTGTTTTTTGTATGCTTCACCTCACTTACGTCATACTAATTTACATCCTTAAATGCTAGAAATACAGAACTTGGATTCGTCGGAATGAAGCACATTGTTACAAAACCCTTTCGGCATATCTACATATTTGTTTTAAAAAGCGATGCGTTTGTTTCGATTAATTAAAGATATGTAAGGCTTTCTTCGTGCTATTCTACCATGAAAACCACGAAATATTTTTTGCAAAGCTTTCCTGTATACTCGTTTATATTTCCAATGCCGTCAAAGGTGGATTTTTCTTTACTGAATTTAATATTAAGCGGATTTCATGGTGAGTGAGTTTCGATATGTGACCAGAACGCGGCTTAGACGTGAAAATTATGGTAGATTTCCAATTTCTGATCACGGTATGAACTGAACACTGCGATCTTCCAAACAAATGTTCAATTTCCCGGTTCGACTTCTCTTCCTCCCAAAATTTTATGATGATTTGTCCTTCAATGACGCTTATTTCATTCCGGTGAGACACCATTGCCATTTTTTAGTAAATATTTTAAGCAGAATACAATTTATGCAGTTTTATAATTAAATACCACAAAACACAGTAAGACGCAATCCAAATTATCACCAATTCACATTTAACTCGCCATAGAACTGCAAAAATACCAAGTGCTTGTAGACTTTTGATCGCTTGTTTTGCTACTCTTTACGATAAAAGTACCGTTATCTGGATTGTTTTTTGAACAAATGCAACGAAACTTCGCAAAAACATTGTGCATTGAATGTTATAAAAAAACAATAAAATATGTTTCCAATAAATGGAATTTTTTTGGAACATAATTGATTCAAAATTGATTTTATTTTCAAAGTTTTTCTTATTGCCTGCTTGTAGATTTATGACTTCGACTGTATATATATATATAAAGAAAAAAACTTTTTTTATTATAAAAGTTCTCATAATTCTTAGGATAACGTATAAGAAAATTTATAAAATTATGTTTTTTTATATTTTGTACTATCATTTTCCAACTTTCAAAATTGAGCTGTTATTTATTTTTGTTATACATTTATAAATAACTTTTATACAAAAAATCTTCCTACGTAATATTAGATAATTTTTTAAAATTATATAATACGTTTATCGCAGAAATATACTACTAAATATTTTCCAATCCAACTAAAAGTTAATACGAAATCATCACTGCAAATATTTTCGTTGGAACGAAAGTTAAGTTGTTGCGGCAAGTGAATCTATTACTTTTGTTTTAATTACCGGGATATATCAGAAAAGTTGAAGAAGAAACATTAGAAATATGGTAAGAAATGAACAATAGCATACTTGAATTGCATATTTCAATGTTTTATAAACATATTTCTTGAACTTGTATTTATTGTACCGCTTTCCAACATTTCTGACAGTTGGAAGAGTGCGTGCGCCATTTTATGTGGAAGTATTGGACTTTCCAATGTCTAAGTTTTTTCAATATTGATTAGTTATGTCGCTTTCGTTGTTTACACATTAGTTCAAAAAAGTTTTTTGATTTGTATTAATAAAGGCTTTTTAAATGTCATAAGAGCAACTGCAATAAATATATTGAGATCAATTATATTTTAAACTTATACAGTAAAGAAACTGAGAAGTTAGAAAAAAAACGCAATAAAAAACCAGATGTCCACTGGAGTGGGAGGCGGAGGGAGTATTACAACAGATCATCATAGCCGTTTATATTTCCTCAATTCGCCTACAACTCCACTAACAACGCGAGACCCGTTTTTTATTAAGCCGGAATATCTTAATTATGAAAGTCCCATGCACCATCTCTACCCAGGAAACCGGGGACTTATAGACTATAATAACTACTCGTCTGCCGCAGCAGCTGTCGCTGCCACAGTTGCCGTCAGTAGTAGCAGTAGTACAACGTCAAACGCAGCTCATAATTTGGAAGGCAATTTTCAACAGCAGGCGTCTGCGACGCCTCAACAAAATCCAACACCACAACCGGCGACAACTCCCCAAACTCAAAATACACACCCTCTACATCAACACCTTAGCACGCATACTCAATCAGCACGAGCGCGTAAAGAAGCACGCCGACGTAGCAACGAATCGATAGAAGCACGAGAACGCAGGCTGGAGCGTAACGCAGCAAGAATGCGCGAAAAACGCGCTAAAGAATCAGAAGCGGAATATCGATTACGCTTAGCGAAAAATGCCGAAGCAAATCGAATAAGGCGCCAAAATGAAAATGAAGTACAAAGAACTCTGAGACTGATGAAAAACGCAGCACGACAGCGATTACGACGCGCAAGTGAATCACCTGAAGAAAGAAAAGCACGTTTAGCCAAAGCAGCTGAACGGATGCGCATCGCTAGAGCAAATGCACCCAAAGTAATTAAGCCACCACTTCAAGATCGCCTCAAAGGGTACTAAATATCTAAACGTTCTTGGTAATTAAGGCCACCAGCATAGCCATAAATTGTAATTTATCATTTTCAACATATAAAAACAACACAAACACAACCAAAATATATCACCACATTCACGAAGCACCACCAGTCTCGTATGGCTTTTGGATTATTGGCTTTTTTATCTGCCAGCGGAAGGAATGGAGCACTTTAGGTAGCTCCGAAAATCTAATTAAGTTTATAAGATAAAGTATTTTTATAATGCATGCATTATATACATACAGTAAATATATAGAATCATAAATATTGTAATGTAATCACCTATGTGAACAATGAATCTTAAGCAACTCCTATTATCAGCCAGTTTAACTCTTCTCTCCCTTATATATAATAGCAATCCGAATCATTCTCCAAAAGTGCATGTGTAGTCAAAATTTTAATTCACACAACCTTCAAACAACCCCTCCCTCCTTATTACTTTACTACTTATAATTAAGTTCTAGTCAAAATTCAAGCATTTTAAATTTCATTGTTCAGTACGATTAAGTTTTTTTTTATATTATTTAATCGAAAGTAATGTAATAATTTACACTATAATGGAATAAAAGTTGCATTCACATTTTTAAAATATATTTTTATATAAGAATAATGTTCATGTTGGGCTGTTAATAATTTACGAATGAAATGATGTGAAAAGAAATCTCTAATATAACGAAAATTCTGATAAAAATATTACTCCCTTCAGGCTTACGTATAAGCCCATTTTATTGAATTGATCTCCATGAATACTTATGAGCTTACGATGTCAATGCTTTACATACTAAGCAAATTTATTGAAAGCTATTATTCTTGTGAAAGTGATCATACCGTAAAGAATGTGAGTGAGCCGAAACATGACTTATATCATATCAAGCCTTAGTCTATATGGGTTTAGTTAACATTCGACTAGTGTATGATGTTATTTTAATTTCAGTGGATTTGTTAAACAAACGCAATATTGTATTTCTTAGAAAGGACTATATATATAATAATTTCGCATAACTTTATATATACAGATATATGTATACATCTAATGTATGTATCCAATTAGGGACGAAATTTGTTTTTGTGAACATTTCTAACATTATTATTTTTCCAATAAAATAGTGTAGTTTCTATCTACAAAACTCTTTATTAGTATCTTATCTCACCACTGTTTAACAGTAGGCAGACTGTTCAAAGTCGGTAAATTATGCGGTTGGTTGAATAGCATAAATATATTGAAAATACAAGGAAGATAATTTTGGTGTTAAGGAAGCCTCACCAAAAACTACCAAGTAAATAGAACGAGCTCCTATAGATTTTAGAAATCTAGATTCCGTCTATCTCCAGAGCTACTTATCTTTTCAGACGAATGCCCCTCGCTCCAATCTCAAAAAATAATCTGTTGGTATCACTGTTGTAAGTATTTATGCACCTGAATTTGTCTAAGCACATGTATTAAAGTAAAATAGCCTGATACCATAATAGTTTGAGTAGTACCATTTGAGAGTGAATATATGACTTTATGAAATAAGATGTTAAAACACATGTTAAAGAGTTAAAGGAATTTGAATTTAATTATATACGAATAATGGAACAAAATTTATGTTTGGTAGTAAAAATATTTTATAAAATAAAAACTATTTTGCATACACATAAGTAATGTAATATTATAAAAACATTATGTTATTTAACATAATTTACTTCAGTGAATGACGAGGGTTTTTTGTATCTTCATCAGTAGGATCGCAATCAGCGCAGTGCCAGGAATAGCCTCGTATTTTAGGCGTCTTTTTAACGGGTGGGTCCAAGCAGGTGAAATGATATTGCTTACGACACTCGTCACAAGTAACAACATTTCCTTGTAGACCCGTTTTTTGACAAACACAACAATTTAAATTTGTTGTTCCTTTGGTTGAAAAATTTGTTTTAGTCCTGGCATTGAATGCTTTTTGAGCCAATTTTCTGGGACTGGTTTTACGTGGAGTTATCTTCGAACTAGTTGGTGTTGACGTATGTATTGCTGTATTTGAAATTGTTGAAATGTTGTTCGAAGTAACTGATATGTCCTCCATTATAACAGATGGATTTAGATCTTCGACTGTTTCAACTGATGTTGGTCGTGAACCTTCCTCCGCAGAACGCACCATATCAGCAGAAACATAAAAAAATTGTGCTTCTGGAGTTACTTCACCGGGTAATGGTAAAGTTTTAAATTTAATTTTAATTTTCGGAATAGATGCATTTGAATCGTTTGGATTCCCAACATCATGATCATGTTGCTTCTTCTTTCGCTTGCGTTTATGCTCTTTATTTGGAGATTTCTCAGCATCCGAAGAAAGATTATGCTTACTTTTATGTTTATCCTTACGTTTTTGTTTTCTAGCTACTTTAGTATTCATTTCAACAGTTTCGTCAAGCGATGTAAAAGTCGTATTTACATTTGATGGTAAAGCGAGAGGATCGGAACTTTGTACACTTTTCGTATTACATGCAGTAGAAGCTTCAGATAGTTCCAACAATACTGGTTCATCAGAAAGTAGTTCATTTTTGTCGGATTGTGCTAAAACGAGAAAAAAAATGTATTTCTAATTTCAGATAAGGACGATAATCTTACATTTTGGAGTAGTAGATTTCATTTTTTTAGATTTATTTGAATCTGTTCTTTCTAATTTTACTTTAGCTTTTTTAATAATCGGAGTTAGAAGAGATTTTTCGGAATTGTGCTGAATAGCAAAGTCAGCTGTTTCGTTTAATTTTTTTTTGTTTGGAATTAATTTTGTATTTCCCAAAGTATCCATCGAATGTCTTTTATGTGCAAAATTTTCAGACAATGGTTTTTCACTTTTGACTGCTAAGATTGAACCATCTTTGTTAAATCGTGTACGTGCCTTACGTGGACCCTTAGGTGTTTCTGGTTTTGCCTCTGAGTCATCTGACTTGTCACATTCGGAACATTGCCAACCGTAGAGCTTTGATTTTTTTGGATGACGAGTAAGTGGTGGATTTAGGCAACCTAAGTGATAATGTAGTTGGCATGTATCACATTTTGCCAACAAGTGTTGATCAGTACAACGTTTACAAATGCCGCACTCATAGGTATGAACTCCAGGTGTTGGTGTAGATGGCGCTGATTTGATGCGAATATTTTCTACGGCAGGTGATGGGGAATTTTGTACGTGCATACTAAGCAAACGCGTCGAATCAACTATTGTACCAGGTGGACCCAAATTAGTTAAAGGAAAGCCACATCCCATCTTTAATGCAGCTGCAGTTAACACAGATATTGGCCTTGTAGGTTGTGCTGATGGTTTTGGAGGGTCGTGATGCGCACGGCCAATATTCATAGGATTTGGAAGCGATTTATTAGGACAGAGGGTCATTAGTTCCTTATGCAACAGGTTTATATTTGAAATAACATGCTCCTTTTATTAGAAAAATCAAATATTTTAAATAATTGTTTACCATTAAAAATAAAAACAGTATACACAAACCTGAACTCCTTTAAGTTCCTTATTTTTCTCTAATTGAGAATCATAGTCTTTTCGTAAAGTATCTTGCTCTTTGGATAAGCAGTTGTTTGCTTCAATCATTTCGATCAGTTGCTGTTTGAGTTCCTGAGACCGAGATATTCGATCTAAATAGTACCCAACAAATTCGACGCTAAATGCTGGAGCTATGTGCCATTTTTTACGAATCTCAGTCAAAGCAGCAATTTGTGATTCTTGCCTCTCTAATAACTCTACGTCTACAGACATTGTTGCAGCTTTTCTCAATAATCGTTTACACGCTGATGCAGATGTTGTTAAGAGGCGTGACATTTTCTGTGTTGGTACCCAGGGTTCCATTTTTAGTTTTTTTTGTGTCATATATTTCCGTTGATATTTTAGAAGTTTGCGTTGTATGCGCATTTGTCCCGGGCATGAATGATCCATTTTAAATCTCAACTTGTCGTTTTGATTTTGTTGCATATTTAAGCGATAGGTGTGAAAATTTCGTTTTCGTTTCTTAATCATTTCTTTTTCGGAATGAATTTTGCAATGTGCGTAAAAAGGATCAGCTGCTTCTGCTTCCTCATGATGAGCTTCTGTTAGAAAACCAGCAGCCTGCGCGCAAGTAACATGAAAATAAGTTTTGCACATCCCTGCATCGCATCCAATGCACACACCAGTGCGTGCAAATTGGGAGTTTTCGCATAATGAACAGGCTTTGGCTCCCCATTTACTATATTGCATTTCAAATAAGGTTACTGATGATAACTGATCAACTTCTCCAAAGGCTACACCTGGAACATATAAAGCACACACTAAGTGCACCCATTGCCCAACATCGGTCTCTTTAAAAATGCCACCTTTATTTGGGCATAGTTCGCATGCAGGATCTGATACACCTGCTCGACACGCTTCACAGAACCATGGTTCTGTAGAACAAGTAGAATTTGTACTTGAGATACTAACATTGTCACTAACTCCATAACATCCTTCGTGCACAGATACACCACATCCATCGCATTCAATAATTTCGTTGGAATCATCACTGCGATCACCTAGACAAACGCAGCAAATTGATTTCGTTGGAAGCTTAGGTGTTTCTTCTACCTTATTATCTAATTCTTTTAACATCACATCCAAGTCATCTCCTCCATTTGCATGTGCTTCAAGATTTTCCCCAGACAATATTTGCTTTAGTTGTAACGTAGAATTATCGCTTTCTCCTTCTTCCGAGTCGTTAGAGTTTTCATCATCTGACGATTCAGCCGATCCAACGGATCCTCCGCTTTCATTCTAATTTATAAATAAATATTTTATATTTAATTTACTTTTATATCATATGAATTGTATAATATAATTTTTCTTATTCAAGTTTACATTTTTAAATAAACAGGCAATTGAAGATTTTGTTTACCCGAGTGTTTGTTAAAAAATATACAAATCTGTGTGTAGTCACATTTGATAACGACTGCAGGTGTCGTCATTTCATCGTTTTGCAGTTTTGCAGTTTCACATAATCTACTAATTTAAATACTGGATTCTACGATGGCATCAAAACTACTTACTACGAATTTAATTTAATAATTTCTGGTATTTTATTGTGCAATAAAATTTCGTTTATGATTTACTTACTTCAGATATTCGGAAATCGCTATCCGATGAACTCTCCCCCAAATCAAAGTCTAATAGTGCCTGCGTAGTCATTTTTGGCTGACGTTCTCTTTTAAATGGAGCCATTTAATATTTTTTTAATTTCTTCTTTTAATTAAATATTTACTAATAATGAAAAATTCGTTATTAATTGAAATTACAATTGTTAACTTAATCCATCCGGCTTCGTTTATTGATGGTAGTAAAAATAAACGAGTAGAGCTGCCATCACTTAAAATTAATACACATATTCTGCTTCTTATTCTGCTTTCCAATTCCAGTCAATTTTTAGCTTGAAAATTTTTTTTATAAATACGCAGAATATATTATATTTTAAATAAAAATTTGTTTTATAATGTAAGAGGAATGTGATATGAAAACACATTACATTTTAATCTATTTAGCAATCGTATGTAAGCAAATTTACACAAAAATGAACATATTTATTTTTAACAAGTACAAATATTGACATTTTGAATGAGTCATTTGAAAGTGTTTACTTTCGTTGTAATTCGTTTGTTTTCATAAACAGCTGATTTTTCAATTTGCCTGTTGATTTGATAAAAATATGTCAAAAACAGCTTTCTCAAAATGCCATGAAGAGCTTTTATTTAGGGTATGTTCAATGTATTTCTTTGCGTTTGGAACATATTTGGAACGCATTCATACAGAATGTGATGGAATGGCTCATTCACGCTTGAAATTTTATATGCAAAAATAAACCATTCGCGTTTTATTTTCGATTTTTGACCAAAATGAGCCATTTTCAGCCAGTGTAAATGCGGTATTACTAAGCAACACTGTATTGATAAACGTGACCAGGCACACAAAGTCTCGTGATAGTGAGTAAATTTATATTGTAATTTACATTACAATAACAACAGTTTCGAATTTGACCTGACCATGTCTGTATAACATGGCACTTACAAAATGAAATTCATATTACAATCAGATTTCAGACACAAATGCAGCAACTAAAATTACGATTAAATTGTAATCTGTAAAAAATGAAATTAAAATTAAATTTGTAATGTATGATAGTACAATTCTAAAGCGATATTGTCAATAATTCTTATAAAATAAAGCAAAAGGAAACAAAAATTTCTGCAACGATTGTCGATTTAATCGATTTGGCCAACTACAAAAACTAACAGTAACAATATCAAAAAGAATATCCTGTGTGAATAGGTTATAAATTATTTTAAATTATAAATTTGCTATGTTGCTTTAATATTACAATTCTTTGAGATCCTTTTATCCAATGCTACCAAGTATGATATATATATGTGCTTATATAAAATATTAAAAATTAAATAAAATTTTCTCAGAACTCACAACCTGTGCTAATAATTCAAATATTTTAGAGATAATAATCCATGCAAGCACACTGCGCAAAATAAAAATTTATAGTTTTTTTCAGTGTAGAAAGTAAAATAAAGCGGCGCTTTCCAATGCATTTTATATATTTACATTTTTTTAATGGAAATATTAGATGAAGAGCTAGGCCGAACCGTTTAAACAATACTGAAGTGCAATTTTAAGTATACATATGAATCAAATAGGAAAGCATATAATAATTTTTATAAATACAGTTTCAATAGTTAAATATCGGACATAAATCAACAAGAATAAATATGTGTTTATTTGTACATTGTTAATTTTTGAAAATTAGCATAAACGAAACTAGTGCTATTTTTTAAGCGCAAACGTTGAAATATAAAACAAAGTATTTTTAAATATCAATTTCCCACTGTAAACAAAACAAAAGCATAAAGTGTGCATTTTACATTCTTCTCTAATTGAAAAAAAAAAATATTAAAAAAGGGAGAAGCAAAAAATCATGTGAAAAATCGATTGGAAAGTAAAATTATGTTTTTGGTTAGACACTGGAATATATGAACGTCAAAAAAACTGACAAACGCGTTTATCAAATGACATCAGTGAGAAAAATTTAGTAAATATTTGCAATATTTGCAAATACGCAAAAAAAAAAGCAAAAAATCTAAAAGCAAGAATTTAAGAACAATGTGTTCGTGAAGAAAAAGCAAATAAATGTGGCAGAAAAAGAAAAGCATTCGAAACTTGTTTAATATATTCGAGAGAAGGTTTTGAAAATAATGGAATCAAATCCTAATGGGATAAAAATAGAGCCAACAATTGATCAACAGCAGCATTCGCAATACACAACGGCTTCACACCTGTTATCTATAAATGGCCCAAATGCACGTTTGCTTATCGAGCATCCATCAACATTGTTGGTTCCACTATCGCATCACCAACAACAGTTGCAACAACAACTGGAGCTACAACAACAACAACAGCAACAACAATTGCAACAGCATCAACTGCAACAACAGCAACAACATCATTTACAACAGCAAGAGCAACAATTGCAACTGCAACAACAACAGCACCAACAGCAATTGCAATTAGGCATATCTCCATATCCACAACCGCTCTCACTTAAACAAGCTCCACCGCCTACTACAGTTGCTGGTGCAGTAGGAGTAGCTACGCCTGCACTTGGTCCCGGTTCTGTAACTTCATCGACATCATCTAATCATCAACGCTGGAACGAGAGTCCAGAAGCACGTTTACGCCGCTTAGCACGCAATGCTGAAAGAATGCGCGAGCGGCGTAATCGTGAAACTGAAGATGAGTACCGTAAACGGCTTTCTCGTAACGCAGAAGCCAATCGTCAACGACGTCAAAATGAAAGTGAAATGGAGCGTGCTATGCGGCTTGTTCGCAATGCAGCTCGTCAACGTCTCCGCCGTGCCATGGAATCACCAGATCAACGCTCAAAGAGATTACAAAAGCTCGCTGAGCGCATGCGTCTTTATAGGGCTAATGAGACACCTGATCAACGTAAAGTACGACTCTCCGAAATGGCTGCAAGAGCTCGTCAACGTATAGCAAATGAGAGTCCAGATGAACGCAAGGATAGACTGAGAAAGCTTAACGATTATGCAAAAAAGGTCAGAGAAAAGAAAAAAATATTGAAGCAGAACCCGAATCAGGATTCTCCTCAGAATTCTAATCAACTGCAAAGCAATTCAGCTAATTGTACTAATAACGAGAATATTAATTTAAATCAGGCAACACCAACAGCAGGCAGTAATATGACTCAACAGCAGCAACCGCATGATGATCAACAACAGCAGCAACTACCACCTTATCAACCGCAGCAAGGCGCAATTGCTAATCCTATTGAATATTACCAAAATATGTTCATAAGTCCAACAACTTTAAGGCCCACACTACTGAAGCAAGAGCAACCATCACAACAAGGACACCAGGAACACACTTTGCAAGGACGTTTCCCACAACAGCAGCAGACAATTTTGGACTCTGACTCAAATAGTCTATTTCAGCAACAGTATGATAATGACCAAAAAGGTACAATTGTTACTTCGACCCCTTCAAAATTGCCACAAGCACATGTGCCCCATTTCAACACAATTGCCAGTTCCTTAGAAATATATCAAAACAAATATATCAAGAAGCAGGAACTTCAGGTAGGTATTATAAATATTACATCTTTAACTTTTATATTCACAGTTTACTTGCAGACACCAATCTCAGGAAACATCTTTTAAATAATATGTGTAAAAAATATTTTCATTTGATAGACCATGATCATTTTTTAGAAAAATTAAATATTCATTACATTTATCGGCATAAAATATGATATCAACCCCTTATAGCATGATGTGCTCTTTTACCGATGCATTTTAATTTTCATATTTGCGGCTTGCACAAATATTTCTGGAGATATATAACTCATGGAAAAAATGCGCAACATTTGCTACACGCGTGGGCTATACAATATTGTGTAGCAAGCTAGTGCCTGCTTCTCTCAAATGTCCACATTTTTTAGAGATAGAAATATCAATCTATCTATTCATAATATTTTTTCCTCCACGCTCTTTAGGCCATGACTTAAAGCCGTACAGTGATTCTGTGCATTTCACCGATAAACATAAGATTTTACATAATTATCAGATTTCTACAAAGTATATTGGCATTTTCTGTATATGCCATTGTTTTTACGGCCTGTAGAAATCTCGAAGCATAGTCCTAAAAGCGACTGTTCTTGGAATAAAGTTAAAGCAGCTCTGCTGAAACCATATATTGAATCTTGTGTTATTTTCCAGTTCGGTATATCGCATTAAACTATAGCCTGACCAGTCAAAATTTAAAACTGTATCTTTTAACTGCTATGACGCATATTCAAAACAATCTGGTCTAAATAGGCCTCTGTCTAAAGTTTCCCCAAAAAGAACAATGACTTCTGTGTGCATTATTCGACTCTAGCATTTGCTCTCACTTTATACCCAACCGTTTTCACTTCCCTACATTCAATGCATACTCCTATACTCAATGCATATTTTAGCTGCCCTTTCTATATTTTATTTTTTGAAGTCTCTAAATCAGATTATAAAAACAGCAATACTAATTCCTATTATTTTTCGCAATTACAGTTTCTACTTTTAAGAAGATAACTTTAACTATTCTGTACTTACAATATTCTTCCGAACTTGTGTAAATATCTTTTATTTATATATATACATATTTGCAATTGTGTCCTTCATAACACAATGAAGTCGAAACTAACCCGTACATATTTTTAGTTATATTTCTGTATTAATTTCTGGATATAGTATTTTTCCTCATCTTTTAATGTTAATAGAATTATTTTGTGTAAACTGCAAGTAAAATAGTTGTGAATATGTTTGTTAATTTTATTTATTTATTGTTATAAATATAATTTGAATTACAGACTAACAGTAACAACAATAACGCGAACAATCAAACAAATTTAGAGCAAACTGAAACTAAAGTAATAGTTGCATCGGCGTCCAACAATGAAAATCAAAAACTTAAATCCTCGCATCCCCAGATACAAAATCCACCAACGCCACTGTATAATCAGTTTTCCTATTTAGCAACATTTCCTGCTGGTGCTAATTCTACGAGTACGGTTGCAACTGGACCTACATCACCTAGCAGTACACCAACTCAAGCTGCATATTATCCTATGTACCATAACGGCTTCCAATTGGGAATAGCGCCCAACACAGTCCCACCACCCTTTACACCTGTGCACTTTTCCAGCAACTCTAACAATGGCAGTCCGCCGGCATCTGGATCTCAACCAGTTGCTGGTGCTTATAATATATTAACTAATACAGCAGTTGCTGCTGCAGTTGCTTCCACAACACCGAACCCTCAAGTAATACAGGATTTTCCAAAACCGGTCCGCGGACGCCCTAGAAAACTTTACTTCAATAATTCAAATAGCGGGCAAAACGAGGAGGCTTTACGACAGCAGCAGAAAGTGAATGCTTTACTTGAACAAGAAATAAATAATATGCTTTCAGCACCTCAAATTTCTCGCCGTGGACGTGGTCAACATTCCTCTCCGACGGGTTCAACTCGAAGCAGTAATCAGCACAAATATGAAACAGAGGAAGAAAAACGCATTCGTTTAGACAAAATGGCAGCGCATCAACGTGCAGTACGAGCCAATGAAACTCCTGATCAACGAGCTGTGCGTTTGCGTAAATTAAGTGAAAGAGCACGTTTAAAGCGAGCAGAAGTGCGTGCAACAGAAAGTCCTGATGAAAGAAAAGTCCGTTTGGCCAAACAAGCTGAGTATGCTCGAATGCGCAGATTAAGAACACACAGCACTAGAAAAACTGAAGATCGATCTCTACAACTGTATGACCAATTGGAGGAAGATGTATCAAATACATCGCATGAAATGAGAGAACAAGAAATGCTTCAGCAAAAAGATCAACAGCAACAAACAGAATTACTACAAAGACAACAGCAGGATTTACAATTGCAGCAACAGCAACAACAAATTCTTCAAGCAAATGATTCCTTGGCTACGGCACAACTTCAACATCAGCATCGTTTAATGGCTTTAACAAGCCAACAAGATCAGCAAATGTCCGCACCGCCAAATTCTGGATATGGCAAATCAACTGGCAAAGAATATGCACAGCCTGAAAATAATGATATGCTTAAAATTCTCGAACCTATCATTGTAATGAAAACAAAATAGGAATGGTAACATTACAACTATACAACATACGTATAATAAGTAAACTAACTAAATTAAAGTAAGTAATTCATAATATCAAACAGTTTGTAATCATATATAGACAAGTTACGCAGTACGCTCTATACAAAGAGAATTTCTGCTAAACTATCAGAAATAATGAAAATTCTTCCGGATTAAGGAAACCTACAACTGAACGTAATATATTACGTACGAATATACGATTACATTAAGTTTAAAGTACTCTTAAGATTATCATATAATAACTAAAGAAATTTTAAATATATTTTAGATTTATATATATAGATCCTATATAGTCAGACTATATAAAATAGCTTCACTAACAAAACTATTTGAATTTCTTAAGAACAGTTTAAATGCATTGAAGTTTGGTGACATGTAATCAAAATAACAAATGACGCCCTTCCCGACTCTAGCTCCAAATTTGTTTTTCTACTATAAAAGCATTCAGGATGCAAGAATAGGAAACAGTACCGATATGCGAATATAATGTTTATCAGCACAAATTTTAATGGTCTAGAATTTGGACACAGCGTAGATTTGTTATTTAATCGATATTTAATTTAAGTTCAAAATTATTTTTAAATATAACGTTAATAAAAATGTAGACAGAAGATGATTCAATGCGCCAAGGGTCAAAAATATAGTGCCCTTTAGGAAATAGTTCGATTCTATTAAATTAACAAGTCCGTTTTATGTAGGCCATAAGGTATTGTTATATTAACTTTATTTTAATTATATATAATAATTAAAATATTCATATGTACAATAATATAAATTTATCTTATTCGCAGAGTTTTTCCTTTACTTAGTTTTATAATAGTTATCTTTCTTCTGTCCATTCAGAAACTATTCATCTATTTTAATAATTAAACAATTTGTGTTGCTTATTCACTAATTTCTTAATTTTTTTAACGATAATAGTTAGGAGAGTATGCGACTTTGAAAAATTATATATTATTTAGTTTTGTTGGTAATTGGTTTTAGCTGTAAAAAAAATGAACTCATATACTATAAACAATTTTTACATACTTTCATATATTATTTAAATTAAAATAAATTAATTTAGGTATGCGTATGTATTTGTTTACACTTATTATTTAACTTCTGAAATATGTTTTTTTTATTTTTGTATTATTTTAAATTTTTATTTAAATATTACAATTCTAAATAATATTGGATTATGATCAAGGTCTTAAATAATTTTTAAATTTAAAAGGTTTTTTATTAAATGATATTTGTATTGTTCTTAAGAATTGTTTCAGAAATAGTTTTGTTAGATTTAAAAACCATTAGAGATTCGCAAATCACCACATATATTATGCATGAAACGCAGTGGATAAATTTGCAAAATATAAAATATTTTCAACATATTAAAATATAAATTTAGTATAAATTATTTCTAATTTACATTTTTCACTGAAGTTTTTTTTCGTAATAAATTTAAAGATTTAAGTTATCAATGCCTAGAAGTTGAAAGGTTATACTATGTTATACTATTTATCTTATCTAGCTGTCCTAATCCAGATGTCCGTATAAGGCACATTTCTTGCATTAATTAAATTTATATCCACAAGTATTTGAAAAGTAATACATAAATTGCTGCATATTCAATTAAATGATTATATTAAAATTTCTAGATATTCGTAATACAATGGCAAAACCATCTAAAAACCCTAAAATTATATATATATATGTACATATATCATATATTTGATCCAAGAGACAAAGCACTCTAACGTTCGATGCCTGTCTGCGTGTGTCAGTACAATCAAGTCTTTCAGTTTTGAGAGAGACATTTTTAAGAATGGACATTTGGTGGACTGAACAAAATTGTTGATGTGAACTATATACATACATATATAAATACGTATTAACCCATATCCGCCCAACGTTCGATTAATCGAACAGCAAATTTTATCACTTTTCTTGGATTTTTTGTTTATATTAGAAAAACTTTAGAGTTTATATTTATTTATATATTATATCATTACTTTGAATGTATGAAGCTTTAGCTTTACAAAAACATTTGTGACTTCACTCCACACCCCCACTTCCTTACTAATTAAAACATTTTGATCAAGAATTCCAAAAAAATCCTTGGGCGGATATGGGTTAAGGTTCTTATAGAACTTTATAGTTCTTATTCCAATTTGAAAATAGCTGCCGTTCGAATTGATGTTTCTTATCAATGTTTTCATAAGAAGAGCTTATGTTCGTAATTAATATATTTTCACCGAATTTTACCGTTAAGTATTATCATTTACATTTTATATCACTATTAAAAACAGGATTGAATGCCAAAGACTTGACTTCTGCTGCCATACTCGTTAAGTTGGGGGTTAGATACATATTCGTCAATGAAAAACCTTTGTATTCTGTAATAAGCTTTCCACAATTTCGCATTTAAATATTTATATCTATACTCTATTGTGAGATGGTTGTTGTTGCACAATGAAATGTTCATTTTATTAAGTTTAAATAAAATTTATTTTAATCCATTCAAAATATTTATTAATTATATTATTATTGAAAATGAAGTTGATCGGTTAGATTTGAACATAGCTGCTATATGTACGTTTTCACGATTCAGATTTCTTAAAAACGATTTTCATTTTTAACGTTACTTCCCCAAATTTTTAATTTATTTTAATATAAACATCAACACAGTTTAAATCTGCAGTAACCTTGTTGGGAATTTTTAAGCTCTATCTGAAGAATGGCTTTTAAGTTCCGGCACAGTCAAATTTACTTTTTTATTTGTTTCTATTTATCTACTTGTACCTTCTACCTTTACGGAAGTACACTATTATGTTTTTTCTATTTCGATTCTTAGACTTCTGATAAGGAAATACTTAACTACTCTTATATGGTTCAATCTAGACTTTCTTTGCTGAAACGATACGGATCATAAATGGAAGTAATTGGCAACGCATCATATTTATCAGTCCTTTATTTGTGTTAAATTTATTATTTTACCTTTTTATTCGCAAATTTGTTGATTCGTTCATTATTTATCGTTAATGCTTCATATCATATTGAAAAGTAGCAGTGATTACAATATTTTATTAACCATACTTCCCTTTTGTTTCGCGACATATTCAGATTGATGCAGAACGTGTACCGGATCAATTGATAGACCGCATTGTTTCTCCTGTTAGTTTAACAGACATCGTTTCATGAAATGCATTTGCAAATGTTTTCATTAGCAATTAAAAATTTTTTATTGAAATATGTCATTAGTATTGGATCAAGGGCTTTCGGACCATGCGTTTTGCCTCTTATTATTTATTGTCAATCTATAAATAATTAAGTAGGATTACTATTAGTGATGATTTTTTGTTTTGATTTTCTTGTATAATTTATTTTCCGTCATTTTGTACACTAATCCCATGCCATATTTAATAATAAAGGTCAACATGTATCTTCTTCCTGAAGCATTCTTTAATTTCTAACACGCCTGTTCAATTTAATATTGGTATATGTTATAATTTATACCTTTGCATCTTCTTGGTATAGTTAAATGAGAACATAAACATCTTTAGTTATATAAATTGCAGAAAACTGATTGATATATTTGAATTTGTATATATATATATATATATATATATAACTTGGCCTACCTCTGTGCCGCTAATTGGGTATATAATACTATTATTAGAAGGGACATTGATACACCATAACTTGGGAGATAGACTTTTGATATTTTTGCTATTCTTTAAAAAGTCTCCTAGGGTTACAAGAACAAATTATGACTATTGATAACAATATTAGATTTCAGACCTCTATTAAATACTTAACGAATCATGTATTTCGATTTCTGTTAGACTTTTACTTATGAAAAATTATCTTTTATTATATGTATTAATTAAGAATTGGATGTATTTTATATTAACATTCTTTAATTATTATTTCGTTTTACAAATGAGATAGGATAGTCTATTTTTATTTTTAATTTTATTAAACAAACGAAGTGATGTGTTTTATATTTTAATGTGTTTAAAATATTTACTTGAAGCATGTAATGTGGTGTACGTGTTGAAAAGTTGCAATAGTGTCGATGACTATATAAGTAAATAAAATATTGTAATATCCATAAAGATTAATATAATTTCATAAGCAGTTTACATATTAAACTCTAGTTACATTTGATGTATTGTATGTAGAAATCATGTAAACATAATTACTGTGTAATAACTATTGAAGTAGTAACTATGATAATACTAATAATAAAATAATTTTTTAAAGTAGCAAATCAAATGTCTTAAATAATCAAATAAAGAAGCTCAATCGTTTAGGTATTTTCGCCGTTCACCAGTAACAGATTAGAGCAGACTAGAGCAAACTACAGCAATAAATGATCATTAAACATTCTTAAATAAGCAAACTTTAACAAACGGTACCAATTATCATTAAGCATCAGCTTTTAAGGTTTCATACATTTATACAAAACGAAAAGAGAACAGAAATGCGATGCGAATTAAAAGATATTAATGATAATTTTACATCTCTTAAATAAGCATATAAATTATAATTAAGATACAATTATAATTTATACTCTAGTCTATCATTGGTATTATATTCATATACATATATGTATGCTTTAGAGAAACGTGATGCATTTAAAAAAAATTTAAAAGTTATGTTTAATGAACTATGAATATGATTAGGACTTGCTTTATTTTATAAATAAAAATTTAGTTTTAAACAAATTAAGTTAACTGAATAACGCTTAAAATCAGATAACTTATAGCAGTAAAACATTGGTTCCACGTAAGATTTTTATTGAACTCAACCGGCCAACATTTCTTCTAAGAACATTCGCTCATTTTTAACGATTGGTCCTCCTTTCACTTTAAAATCAATCCTTTAAATGTTTCACACAGTGATTTAACACTGATAAGTGTACGAGGGTCACTATTTATATTTTAAGCCTTGGCGACATTGTTGTCGCCAGGTCATTTTTGTCACGTGTCAGCTGACGTTTTCATACGAAAAACTGACATTATTAAACACAATCTACTTTAGACTTGTTGTCAAAATAGCGTTATTTGTGTTATTTGTGTTATTTGTAGTGATTTGTAAATTGAGTGGTCGGGGGAAAAAAAAAGAATTAACACAGAAATCTTTTGTGCGATGATTTATTTCTACTTTCAACGTGATTTATCAAGACAAGAGTGCATCGATCAACTTATTTCCAATTTGACGATGAAGTTCTATTCTTTGCCACTGTGAAACGCTAATACAATGATTTTAATCGTGGCCACAATTTGCTCACTGACGAAATTCGTGAAGATCATCTAAAATCAGTTGTTCAGTTGTGCCAGATAACATTGATGCTGTGCAAAAACTGATATTGCAAGATCGTCATGTGACATACTGTGAGATTGAGGTTGAAACGGAACCTTAGGCATTAGTTCCACCAGCTTATATAAAATATTAAACCGGAACGTGAACAGCAGTCGACTGTATGAGTGTTTCAAGATGAACCAAATCCAACAAAAGTTGTTCGAGCTCGAAACAAATGATCGCTTCGAAATAAATGGTTGATTGTTTTTTCGGGAAAACTGGTCTTGTGGCAACTATGCGAGTATCATTATAGGAATGGGGTGCAATCATTTGTTTACCGGAAGTTTTCAGTGAAATACGGAAACAAACGAGCACTATCGGATAATTCTCCATCAAGACAATGTAAGTGCTCGCACATCTCGGCTAACAACCGACTATTTGAACATTTAAAAAATCGAATTGATGATACATTCGCCGTACAGTCCTGATTTGGCACTCAATGACTTCTTCTTGTTCCTGAACGTCAAGAATAAATTGTGTGGACAACGTTCATGATTTTTGCCGGCGGAAGAAGCCGTTATTGCATTTAAAAAGCATGTTTTCTAAATGCTTTGACAAATGGTTCGCACGCATGCAAAAGTGCATTAAAAGGTGAAAGTGTATAAAGGAGAATACTTTGGGTAACAAAACAGCAATTTTCAACGACACGTTAGTTTTTTTTCATTATTAGGCTCAACATATATAGTGTACAGTTTCATGGTAGCTATTTTCCCTGTGAGGAAATACACAAAGCGATTCATTACTAGAGATTCTCTGCTTTCTTCAATATACCTTGCAAAATTGATAACAGCATCTTATATATTCTACCTCTTATGATGTGTCATTTATTATTATTTTTGAATTTCTTTCCTTGTAGTACGTTTTCATTTGTAATTCTTTCTGTCCAGATTATTTTAAACATTCCCCACATTTCAAATGCATCCAGTCGGTTTATTACAGTTGTTTTTAGTATCATATTTCTGCACCATAGAGCAGTGTCCACAACACTTGTAATTTCATAGTTTTTATTAATTAATATTAATAAATAATATTAATTTCCTAGTTTCTCGCAATTTTCATTAGTCTCATCAATGCGTCTGTCGCTATCTCGATTCTACTTTAATTTTCAGAAAATTGCCCATTTGTTATATAGCCAGTATCATGCATTATAGTCTGGGCTTTTATGTTTGATAACAATCACAAATTTGTCATGCCTCTGTTGATATTGGATCACCAGTTTTTGTGGTATCTATTCACTTTAGTAATTAATTTTTGAAGATCTATTTTGTCAGCATGTTATGTAAAATAGTACCATTGATTTGTATGTCCTTTTTTTATAATGAGAGGCTATAGCAAAAATTCTTTTAGACTATAAGAGTTGGTTATTTCTAAGTTGTTTATTTCGTGGAATTTTTGGACCATTATAGTTCAGATGAATTAGCACTTAACCTCAAAAAGAAGCGAAACAAACTCGAAATTTAAAGATTGCAACTTTATTTTCGCCAAATTTTCAAAAAAAATTTCGTGTAACAGAAAAAAATTACCGGAAATATAATTAAAACTATGTTGACATGCAGTTCAAAGGATATGTGGTACTAATTTTTTCAAATCATACTATTCACAGAGAACTGAAGGTGAAGGAAAAAATAAAAAGTTAAAGCGAAAGATATTGATCGTAGAATTTCTACATAACCGTGAATATAAATAATTTATATATAAGGTTGTGAGATTCTAATGTAAGTTAAATTTCCACCAAAAAGATGTGTATAATTAATATGTAGATTGTAAATTTAAACAGAATAATAAAAGATTTAAAATGGGATGGAAAAAAAGATATCGTTTTATAGTCTTTCTAAACAAAGGATTTTGTAGAGACGGTTATTATATAATTTATATCACTAATTAAGATTCAACTTGTTAAAAATATTTTAACAGCTTTTTAATTTTCAGATGAAAATCACAACTTTACATACCTTTAACACAGAATATTCAGCTGATGCGATTGAGTGGTGTCCCTGTGAAGGATATCTTAACAATTTTGCTTGTGGAACATATCAACTGGAGGAGAGTACTGAAAATCTGGATATTCCAATGAAAAGAAAAGGTCGAATTTATATTTTCAATTTCAAAACGTCATTGAATGAGTTGATAGAATTGTGTCGTTTAGAAACGGCTGCAATACTGGACATGAAATGGTTACCTCAATTTAAGCACAAACCCAGTCTAGCTGTTGCCAATGCGGTTGGTCAAATTCAAATTTTCGAGCTAGAATATAAGAAATTAATACCTCGCTCAATGCTTCATATAAATCCGGAATACAATAACTTATTAGCTTTATCATTGGATTGTAATTTGCAGCAAACAATAGCTAGTGATGAAAATGAGCAGCATATTTTAGTTTCGGACTCCAAGGGGTATATTAGTTTACTTAAATACACATTGGAAAATGGATTGGAAAAGTTAAATATATGGTCGGGACATAACTTTGAAGCGTGGACGTGTGCTTTAAACAAATGGGACTCAAATTTAGCATTAAGCGGTGGCGATGATACATTCTTACACATTCATGATTTGCGTCTATTTGAACGCGTACTTACAAATAAAAGTCATATTGCGGGTGTGACATCTTTACTTAGTCATCCAAGTTATCATAATTTACTTCTTAGTGGAAGCTACGATGAACGTTTACGTAGTTTCGATATCCGCTATATGAAGAAACCTGTCAGTGAAATAAACCTTGGTGGTGGCATTTGGCGTATAAAATCTGACCCTTCTGCACGTAATTTAATATTGGTTGCTTGTATGTACAAAAATTTTAGTTTGGTCCATTTCGAAAATGGAAATTTAAATGACCTAAAATTAGTTGGAGAATATAACGAGCATGAGAGCATTTGCTATGGTGCCGATTGGTGCCTTGATGTGGAAAAATCCGAAAAGTTATTTATTGCGACCTGCTCCTTTTATGATCATAAACTTTGTGTTGCCAGCGTTGAAGCGGAATAATTTTGATTAAAACAACGATATTAAATGTTAACAAAAGCAATTGTTTTGCCAAAACATAAATAAATAACTACCTAATTTCAAAATCACATGGATTTATTGAATTTATTGTAAAAGTATGTGAGTAAAGTAGAGATGCAGGATCAAATCATCGTATTATTATTATTCCTAGTATTCGGCCAGTGACTGAAATTCAATCACTTTACAAAACATTCCAGTACTATTTTTAATGCTAATTTGGACTGTTAATAAGACATCATAATGTACCTAAGTAAATACATATATGACAAAAACCACAGATAATAAAGTGTGATTTGTTTCCACATGTGTCCAACTTGCTTGTTTATATATTATGTATTTGACTGCCGTTTTAAAACAAGGATGAAATCAAAATAATAGCACATTTGGCTGCAAATACAGATGAGAATATATTTTTCAACTTGTTAAGTTGACGATTTAGTGGTGAATGTTGTGTACAACCAAAGAATCTATAGTACAAAGAAGTGCCACGCTCATACAAACGAAATACCCACTTTATTTTGCTGGTGGATTTATAATAAATCCACCCAACCTCATGCAACAATGTTTGATCGAGTCACAACTGGTATGATGTTTAGTTCAAACCTATATGTGAGTCGAGTAAGGCTGACAAAAGCCCGACTGCATTCGTATTAAATCATACATGCAACCCTCTGTATTACATTATACGCATGTTTGTGTGTTTGTTCGCTGTAAAATGTTCAAGCGATCAAACAGCATTTCAGTGACGAAATCAAAATTGTGTACATTTGATAAGTTTTTGAATTTAATAGTATATAAAACAAAATTACTTGTTTGTTATTGGTATGAATTGTAGTGTTAAAACACATTACAAATTTATTTATGTCTCAAATCTGATTTTTTCCATTCTACGAAGCTTTATTCTTAAATGTTGCCCATGCGCAATGTTTCGGAAGCAATATCGTAATCAACAATTTTTACATTTCAATCCGGTGTAAATAGCATTCATGCGTTTCCTCAAACCAGGAGGCATTAATAGTGGTTTTAGTGACTTCTACACATTTTTGCATTAAAATTTTTCTTACATTTCTAATATTTTTATTTTTTTTTAAATACTTTTCAAAAACTTTTATATGAATCTTGCAAATATTTTTTAAAATAATTACAAAAATTCACCAAAAATTCAAACTATTATGAAGTAGTTCCATTTGAGGTAAAATATATGCACACAAATGTGCAATAAAAACATACCTACTTATGTACTGCAGACTTAATGTCTCCAATATCACATTTGTACATACATAATAGTTTTTGTAGTGCATCATATTTTGCAATAAAAAGAAAATATATTTTATTACTCTTTACTCCTATGATATGAGCCTTTTCAGTACAAGAAAATAAAGCAACAAAGTATATGGTAAAATTGTTTCAGAGATTTCTTTACCATTCACTTCGCTACTAATCAATGTATATTAATTAAATAGACAAATAAAAACAAGAAAGGCAAAAGAAACAGGCGTATAAAAACAATTGTGGGTTGCAATGAGTTTGAACTGAACATCATACCAGTTGTGACTCGATCGAACATTGTTGCATGAGGTTGGGTGGATTTATTATAAATCCACCAGCAAAATAAAGTGGGTATTTCGTTTGTATGAGCGTGGCACTTCTTTGTACTATACATTCTTTGGTACAACTACACGTAAAAAGGAGCTTGGGTGTATATTTTAATCCGTCATTGAAGACGTCTTCAAGACATGTATACATACATGAAGACCGATCGATCCAAATGTATTACGGTCTTCAAAGATATTTTCGAAGAAATTAGCCAAATGTCTTCAACAACATTTTGCGTAGATGTCTCGAAGACCATATCTTGCATAACGGACGCATTCGATTGAAAGTTGTGCGCTCTTAGCGCAGCTGCTCATTTAATTTTTGGACCCTTTTTATTTATGCTCTTTTTTTGCGCTCTTTAAATGTTAAATAAATTTCAATTTTTCAATTTGATTGTTATGAGGATTTTTATCAAAAGCCGTCTCGGAGACAATGTCTGCGAACACCACTTTTTCTACTGGGTTAGTTTATTTACTAACACAACTACAAACATTTTAGATTACTGTAAAAATGTTCGATTGGGTAACAAAATTTAGCAGATCTAGAGTAAATCGAGATGGAATCCAGATTAACCAATTGAAAACGCCATTACAATGTTCTAATGTAATTAAAAAATTTGGGATAAAATTTATGTGTAGATGAAATTTCTTTGTAAGCACTCTATCATAATGTTCTCATCATAAGTTTCTTGACCACTGTCATTAGATACACATAACTTTAATCCGTTAAATAAACGAACTCTACTCTCAGCTACATATAATTATCCATGTGCAAATACTGGTCGTCTCAATAGGACACCTACCATATCAAATGTTTGTCCTTGGGATTTATTAATGGTAATAGAAAATGCAAGTATAATTGGAACCTACCTTCGTTGAACTTGAAATGGAACAACTGTTCCAGGAAATGTGCATGCTTTTTACTCTCATTTGCGTTCCATTTACTAAAGCTTGTGAAGTATTTAAATTACGACAGTTTATATGGTGACTCTAATTTACATCACATATAACTTTATCACAACTGTAATAAATTTTTTCCTACCCTGAAATATGGTTAAGTATATCATCACTAAGAAAGGAGTGATGATGTCTACATTGGTGGAAGCTAAAATTACGGATTTAAGAATTTTTTCTGATAATATATTCTCATGAGTATTATATACATCAGCTATTATATTATCAAAATGATCAATTATTAGTGGTGGTAATTCAATGATATATTCAACAAAAATAGGACAACATTTTAAGTCGTCGTTTCCGAGTTTATTAAAATATTGGACAAATTTTACTTCATCTGATGCAGTTCACATATAGTGTTAACGTAACATGATGAAAAAAAATAAAATTCATTCCTTCATAATTATAAAATTTTTAATTGGAGGAGATCGTGTCCCGTGTGGAACAACAGATAAAATTTATCTGAAGTCACCCGTGAGTAGAACAGTCTTATAAGTCAATTGGTGTCGATGACTTTAAATGCATTAATTGGAACATTTAAAGTATCTTCAATTTCTAAAAGGGCTCGATTGTTCGCCACACTGATATCAAAATCCCTAACAAAGTCTTCAATTATATATGTATTAAATTCATTCCATTGCAATAATGCATTGGTTGGCCTATTTAATGCATATCTAATCGCAACTCGTCACTTCATTTGTTTTCGTGCTTGAAAGTTCTATGCTTTTGGGGAAACAACATATATACGTGATATATTTTATGGACACCAAGTAATCTTTTATTTTTTTATTATGCCATACATAATGCATAATGAATTTCAGTATAAAGATATTGATTTGCTCCTGTATCAACTATAATTAAATTAAAAAAATTCCAATAACTCTGTATATCTGCTATTATAAATAGCACTTAACAATTTAGACCTGGTCTAAATTCCACATTTTGTCTATTTGTTGAATGTATATCTAACTTGTAAAATAGTAAGTGATTGTAAATATATTTCATACTCAAATATACGCCACACACCTTCTGCAGACCCTATATATATTACGCCAACAAAATTTTTTACTTCATCAACAGATAAGTCCCCACTTATTCCATTATTGCCATTTAATTCAATACTTACGCTATCGTAACCTTTATCCACGTACTTATATATATATGTATGTATGTATTTTACGCTTCTAACAGTTGTGCAAACTTCTACGTTAATATGGCAATCAAATTTCGCAAGAAGGTATGGATTGTAAGGAACAACATATCCGTTATCAAGTGTTTCACCCCTAACGTGAACAGTTGCATTATTATCCCGTCTCCTATAAACAGGGTAACCATTTAATCTCGTATTCTTTCCCAAAAATATTTAGGAAACTCCTTTGAATACTTTCCGCCCACCATGGTGGGCCATTTCACAATGGTGTAGAAAACTAAAATCATCTCTAATAGCGAGACGTTAAGCATTAGATGTGCTTGCTATATTGTGATTTATATTTGGACGTCATCCTGTGTATCATCATTCGGAAATAAAATTGGATAAGCTAAACGATCTAACTAACTTATATAATACAGATATATTGTAAACGGCACCACTTAGTTTATTAAAAGCTACATTTGTTTCAAACAGCGGTTCATCATTTGTGGTGGTAAGAATAACAGCCGCATCTGTCTGAATAGCATCATGGTATCTTCTAATATCTAAAAGCTTATTTACTTTGATCAGCATGCAAACTTCTTTATAAGCATTAACATCACTCCAGCAATATTCATGCGTTGTTCTAAAGGAACGTACAAATGAATTAATGCGATCGAATGCATCTGCAAATTGTTGCATCACCATGAAACACACGTCGTTAGAACATGCGAACGGCACGGAACACTTGCAAGGAATAAAGGCTGAAAGAGGGGAACTGGCACTTGTGCAAGTTAATGCCATAAATTATAAGTCGATTCCATTGTTATAAATCGCTTCACATTGTTTAGATACTCTAAGCGTTCATAGGATTAACGCTTCTAAAATGTGAAGTACTTAATAATCAATCTTAGTAATAAAATTCATATTTTATTATCGTCAATTAAGCACGCACAAATATTGTTGTGCATTAAATACGCACAAATGTCAACTGTTTGTTTGCATTTGAATCTTCCGTTTAGGTTTAAGTCTTCTGTTCAAAATTATAAGTTTTCAGTTTTTAATAAGATATCAATAAAGAATGATCATACTGATCATAAAAGATATTTTTTAAAAATAAATTTAATAAAAAGTAATTTTAATTTGCATAATTCATTCGCATTCAAACGAGCAATAGCTCTGCAGCTGGAATTAATTATAGTGTAAATATTTTGTATTAAAAAGTGAATAATTAAAAACATAATAAAGAGTTTTTTATTATTACTAAAAATAGTTGAATAACTAAAATCGCATTGTAAATTTGAAGCTTCGTGTAATCTGAAATTAACTGCAGTGTCCACATTGTATCTGCAGTGTTCTCAGATACAATATTTGAATTTAATCCATTAAATATTTCGGAAAAAAAATATTTTGACTCAATGGAGGAAGGGACACTTTACTTTTATGACAATGTGATGTTAAAGAGTTAACTTTATCATTATATTAAAGTCTATAGAAATTTGACTGACGCTATTCAGTGCAAAATAATGAACTGAGTATGAATATTCAATGCAAGTATTGGCATACAAAGTTAATTAATATAATATTTTAATTTTGTCAATTAATTTTCCATAGAATTTACAGTCCGACTTTAATACGCTTTCAATCAAACAGTTAAAACAACAGTGAACATTAGGTCTAGTAAAACTCAAGTAAAACACAAGTAAAGCACAAACTGAGAGCGTAACACAAATAAAGTGCCAAATTTCGCTCTTTACACAGATTTTCAGGGAACAGCTTTGTGTAAAGTCTAATGAGAACACCAGTTTGCTCAAATAATCAATACAAAAATTTTA